AATACCGAAATTATGCATATGCATACTTTCGTTTTAAAAGCGAAATAATGCATATGAAAAAAAACGAAGTAATGCATACATGCACAGTTTCGGTTTAAAACCGAAATAATGCATATGGTAAAAACCGAAATAAAGCATACATGCACAGTTTCGGTTGAAACCGAAATAATGTCTAAATGCACAGTTTCCATATGCGCAATTTCGGTGCCCCGCATAATCAACACAACTCTCTAGAAATAATACAGCCAGAAAAATTTTAACTTTAAATAATTCTCCTTTATTAATTCTTCATTTATATTTACAAACATAAATATGAATCTTTTATGGCATATATTAGTTCAATTTACATAATAATAAGTACTTCATTATATTATATTAATTTTTAAATACAAACATTTGTTTAAATACATTTGCATGGCATAACAAAAAATGGTTAATGAAATGGAAATTTAAAAGTGATTTTATGAAACTTTTCAAAAAGCCCTTCACACAGAATTACATATATCGACGGCTGAGTGGAAGATCTCAGAAATTGGATCAACAACACCCTATTTCAGAATTTCATAGAAAAACGCCCTATCTCAGAATTTGGTTGAAATTATTAATTTTTTTTTCTGGTGTAAAAAATAGCAGTTGTCTGTTAGAGCATTACTACATTTCAACAATGATTTACGTGCGTTTAATAAACTAAAATTCGAAAGAAGTAAAAGTACGCCATGGATTAATTTGACTCTCCAAATTGTACGAAATTTCAAAAAAAGTACAGAACATTCAAGGTTTGTATGTTACGAAATAGAAAGCTGATGAGCTTTAGAAGAGACCTGTCGGGCCCGATTTTAAAAGTTTTATTTGTTTCGATCAAAACGAAAAAATGCACAGAAAAAAAAAATTTGAAATGTTAAAAAAAATTTGCACCAAAACTAAAAATTTTTTTGTTGAATTTTTTAGGCATCTAGTTTTATAGCATATTCCATTTGAGTACAATAAAGAGAAATTTTCAAGTTGTTAAAAAATCGCGTTGATTTTTTCTTGATAATTCTCTTTGTTACCGTTTCAATAAAAATTTTTTGATTTCAAATATTTTCAAAGGCTAAAAATTTACTTTGCATAATTCATCATTCCATCAAAAGGTATTTAAGAAAGCGCGATTGAATTGCACATTGCTCTTATAAGAACCATCCTAAAATGTCAAATTGAAAAAAAAAATTTATTAATTTTGATCGTTTGTTTTTATTTTTTGACATTATAGTACCTTAAAAGAGAGCCGCACTGAGTTGTCAATCACACCTTGTTTAATACACCTAACACTCAACTAAGCTCTCAGTGAGACAACAATAACTAAAGTTCAAAAAAATTTTGATTCTCATTTCTCAAACCAGGTGCCAAAGCGTTTTACGCAATGCTATATCTTATTTTAATAATACCAATGCATATGCAATTAATAATACGCACTCTCAACTTAAACTTTACTTATAGCTATGACTAACGTAGCAGGCAACATTTACCGTATTTATATTTATTTTAAGTATGTTTTTATATACAATACATACAAGCAAGTGTGTATGCAATTACACATTTCTTTGTTAGGGTGCTCCTTAATGTCAACATCTAAACTTTGTTCTACGTACAAAATAAAGACATCCACGATTAAAAAAATTTTAAAATATTTATTTTTGACTTCCAGCATTTTTAAACTTTTTCTATGGAACAAGATACATAAATTTCGTAAAATTTTCATATTTTCAAACTCTGGCAGCGATGCCTATTTAGAAATTATGTTAAAATTTTAAAATTTTCATGGATGTCTTATATATAGCACGAATTACAGAGATGATCCATTCAAAATTTAATTGTCAGCACCCTAATGTGTACACTAGCTTACTTGTATGTAAGCAAATTACTGAACAAATATATATACATACACATGTATGTACTTACCTACTTTATATACCGCTAATAATATCAATATTTAAAGTAATTAAGCAGCTCCTATTCGTATTTTTTAATAAATATTTTAAATGCGTATTTATATGTATGTATGTATGTTCATATGCAAACATAATAGTTTCCTTAAAAGCTACCGATTTTATAACTATGTATACAACTTGTATGATATATTTATTATATTTTTGCTTTCACCGCCAAATGAGCATTTTTTTAATTACAAATTACTCTAATTACATACTAAAAAACAATTACGGATTCTATGTACATACACATTATATGCTATTCAAACAAGTCAACACGTACATAACAACGTAATTTAATGAATTATTATTAAATCCGTACATATGTATATGTATACACATTAGGGCGGGTTGATTTGTTATTTTTTTTAAATCGTATAGCAAAAACGTAAACTACATAAAATTCTAAGAAAATTCTCCGAAGAAACCATGTATCTAAAATAAAATCCTAATCCACGCCTCTCGACTTGAAAATTTATATGGCCGCCTTTGCCAAAAAAATAAATGTTAGAAAAAATAGGGTTTTCCAAAAAGAAATCGAATTTTCTGAATAAAATTGTTTAGTAAGGTAGTTCTTTTGCACTTTATATTTTTTCTACACTCAAAATTTTTTTTCATTAAAAAAAATATTCACCCAAGTAAAAAAGTTTGTTTATAATTTTATATTTAATATTTTTATAAGGAACATAGATAAAAAAAATTGTCTCTCATAATTTAATAAAAAAGATTGGAAATGCAAAATAAAAAAAATTGCACTCAAAAAATTGTTTTCAGTATTTATAAAATAACCTTCTTTTGTTTCGATAAACAATTCTTATTTTATAATGCAAATAAAAGCAAACTAAAAAAGTGTTTTCACTCAAACAATATTTCAGCAATTTTTCAGTAATTTTTTTGTACAATAAACAATTTTTGTTTCATTCATTTTGCCTATTTTATTACAAAAAAAAACAATTTTTTTTAGTTATTCTTTGTTTTATGCAAAACGCAGTTTAGGTGAAACGTGTTCTAACTATTTTTTATATAGAAGGCAAATCAGAGGAGATGCAAATTGGGGTTCAACTGCTTTTTTGATAATTGAATATTTTGATTAGTCTCAAAACAAAACCTGTATTGCATAAACTATAATA